GTCTATCATACATCAAAAACCACAGATGATGTTATCATATGCAAAATTTATGCTTCGTCCAACATGAATTTAGTCTTTTCTCTTTGGTGAGGACATCATTACAAGCAGTTCTTTCCTAGACATGTTGAAAAAGTATATTCTTTCACAGCTTATTGACAATAACAATCTTATTCTCCAACCGGATGTTGCTCCTATTCATTTTGCTCACATTGTCCATGTCTGCTTGAACTTGAATTTCCCAGGTCAGTGATTGAGTGTCTACTGAATGAACTCAAGGCACGGGTCACTGCAGCTGTGTCAGATGTTACAAGGGACATGTTATAGTCTGTCACGCAGGAGATGTATGCAGAGCTACAGATGGCAGGCATTGTGAAGTTTCATGAACCTAACAGCTTTTCAACTTGTGTGTAATGAAAACTGTTTCAATTGATAAATAAAATGCTCCAAACAGGACCCTTGTCTGTTTTCATTTTAAAGCTGCAGGTGCCTGGCATTTCTTTTGGTAAACTCTGTATACTCAGTTGAAAGCATCATTGAATAAACCAAGAATCTGAGATATTCCAAGATAAGTTCTTCATTGGCTGTGTGCAGTTGTATGAAGCAGATAGAATCACTGCTACAGATGTGAGTTGTGTGGCAAGGTGCTGGAGCAGCGGTGCTATCTATATGTAAAGCCCTCACATGTTGCCCCATCTGTAACACAGTGTTCAGTCACATATTCAGCCTCTTGAGACATTAATTTATCTCTTTGTATGACGTGGGCAAATCATCTGAAATGCTCATGCAGTTTGTATGCAAAATAATGTATGAGCAGCTGCTTAAACTTTCATCTGACACTAAATATTAAACGTAATTCTGTGTTGTATCATCCAGTAACATTATAATATTATTACTATTATGTTTGATGTCATTTTTTACACAACAGTTCAGCAGTGTTTCATTATCATTCACAATATTGCCACTGTATACTTGTCGACACAAATATTTTGTTTGTGTGTGGTTCAGTCTTTATGTAACCATCATTGGGCACACTTAATTCATTGTGTAAGCTGGTACAATATGCATATTTCTAAAAATTGTCATGAAGGTTAAAATGCTTAAATATAATTCTTTGACATTAAAGTTAGTGTTTTCTTATTTTTATGGTTATAATTTGAATTTGGTATGATAGTGTTTTTGATGTTCTTCCTGGGTCTTATTTTTTGATTGAGGTCTTTGGTTTTTATGTTTTTCTTTGTTGCTATTAAGTACCTTGATGTTCATTGGTGAATGGGAAAGGATCTCAGTCTTAACATTGTAACCTTACTGAAGAATTAAAAAAAAAACATGTACAGCATAGTAGCCTAAGCATTGAATAAGTGTACCTGATAGTGATCAAATAATGACTTAAACATGTACAAACAAAATAACTTACTGTCAGAAAGTGTATAGGGATAGTATTATGAATGATAAATAGAAATTGCATAGTTATAGAATATCACTAAAGAGTTGTGTAAAAAGGACAGTGAACACAATAGTGATTATGAAACACCATTGTTAATTTTGTTTTGATAAATAAAGATAATTGATTTAGCCATATGCCAGTGTTTGTAAGACTTTTATTACTTATTTTCTCCTCCTATGGATGTCTTCATAATAGTTATGTGTACAATATTATTTATGTATGTAAAGAAATGTAAGCTCTGCTTGTATTTGTAGTAAGCGACAAATATTTCTAATACCTTCTACACTTCACTTGACTCTAATCGTTTGTATTTATTCAGTGCTCAGCATTAATAATAAGGGTCAGGGTCTTTGGACATTCGCCACCTTATCTCGACTTGTATTGTTTTAAATGAATATTTTGTAAAGTAATATGTAATATTCTCTTTTGCCCTAGAGCTGAAACGGGTGGGGGTTCCCAGGTCTTGGCGGGTACAGGGATGCAATTTCCCTGCTTCCTCAGGTTCAAGCCATCAGTGCACCATTTGTGGCAAGACATTTCTTGCTCGTGACTCACTGTATAAACATAAGAATATACATAAAGGAATGACTCAGTGTCCCGTTTGCCAAGCAGTACTGAGTCGGACCGGCAACATGAGACGGCACATGATAGCTAAACATGGTTGGTCTACATAATATTCAAAATTGTTGCTGCATCAGTCATTATCTCTCTGTCCATAGAGTCTCTGTGGCTTGTGAGTCAAGAAGAGTGGCAAGGCTTAGCCAGAGGAAATGTTGCAGACATTCATCAGTGCAAGATTTGTGGGAAGACTTTTCGAAATCGCAATTCTCTTTATCTGCACAACAATGTTCATAAAGGGAACACACAGTGCCCCGTTTGTCAAGCCGTATTCAGCCGGATAGATCACATGAAACGACACTTTGTTGCAAAACATCGCATTTAGTGTCTGTTACCCATATACTGAAGCAACCCAAATTGTTTGAATCTGTATTGTTTATGGTTTCTAAAATACATTTTTTTCTGTTTGTAGAGTATCTATTGGTGGGGTACCCCGGGGAATGGCAGGGAAGTATTCAACATGAGAATGGACATCGGTGCAAGATATGTGGGAAGACGTTTGCAAACATGGGGTCTCTTTACAAGCACAATAATGTACACAAAGGGAAGACACGCTGCCCAATCTGCAATGTTCTTCTTAGCCGCATTGACCACATGAAGCGCCACATGATAGCAAAACATGGATTGCTGTAGAGGACAGGAGCAGCTATTGATTTTGATCTCTTTCTATTTGTAGAGAGTCTGTGGGTGGGGGAACCTGGGGACTGGAAGGGCATTGCTGGACTGAACATTGTTCCCCTCGTGGATGGGCATCAGTGCAAGATCTGCGGGAAGAAGTTTCTAAACCAGGGTTCTCTGTATAAACACAAGGACGTGCACAAGGGCAAGACAAGGTGCCCCGTTTGTCAGGTGGTCTTCAGTCGGACTCTGAACATGAAAGCCCATATGAAGACAAAACATGGTTGGTCAGTTTTGTAAATGACTGTAATAATGTTTATGGGATTTTATAGTCTTACACATAAGGGGCATATATCTCTTGACCACTAACATAAGCAATGCAAGCTGTTGCTATGAAATAGATGAAAGTTTGATATATATGGACTGATTGATCTGAATATTCATGATTTGTTATGCGTTCTGTTTTCAAGAATCGGTGTATTGAATTTTTTATGAAAGAGTAATTCAGTGTGTTGTGGGCTTCCTTTATTGAAGCATTCAATTTGAATTTGATTTGTAAACAGAGTCATAAGTGAGTGCAGCACAATGCAGAAGTGTTATGGTGTACGTATAGTCCTGTATCTGTGTCAAGTTTGATTTCAAAGGAAATGTGCACTGTTTGTTTCGTGGTATCAAGTTCAGCCCCTCTCTGTCTGTTTGTAGATCCCCAGCAGCAGTGGGTGGGGGGTCCTCAGAGGGGTCCCCAAGTCAGTGAACGTCTGCAGTGCAACGTCTGTGGCAAGGTATTTCAGAACCGCAATTCCCTCTGTGAACATAAAAATGTTCACAGCGGGAAAACTCAGTGTCCTGTGTGCCATGCTGTCCTGAGCAGAATACGCCATGTCAGGCGACATATGATTACTAAACATGGGTGGTTACCATAATCTTAATCTCTTATAGTACGTGTGTGTGACATAATGCAAAGGCTTGTGATTGATACTACTTTGGGTTGCTTCACATATGGCTCAGTTTCAGATCAGTCATTCTGGAAGATTCAGTGCTAAATCAGTAGAACCTGAGTCCCCCCTTGATTAACTCTTTGAGCTCATATGATGGTATTGAATATCCTTTTTAGAACTGTAGTACAAAAATAAAAATTACATTTTGAAAACAGATTAGTTGAAATGTGACAGTTGAAGGGTTAATAGTTTTACAGTGCCTGGGCTTGGAAATGTGCATTTGACAAATATCGTTTATTGGACATTCTGACAGAAGTCTTACTGGAACATTTTCATCCCCTTGTATGCTACATGTTAAGGTATTACTAAGACAGGAGATATCTTCATAAGGCAGTCTAATATAAAAGTGTAACAATAAAGGAGAACACTTCTGCGTTACATATATGAATTAGTTGCATTTGTTATTTTTCTAAATGTTTTGTGTTTGCTACATTTTAAGTGAGAATGCTTGAATTTATGTAGGCAAGAGATGGTGGCCTTAAAAAGTGGTAATAACATATAGTACTTACGGTATTATAAATGATGCTGAAATTGGCCAGTGTCATGTTGGAAGATGTTGCTTGCAATGTGGATGGAATGTTTGCAGTGCATTGCAAGGAGTTATTCCTAAGTTTAGCCAAAGCGTGTGAGTTATTGCTCTATGTGTTGTCCTTGACATAGCCACATGAAAATGTAATGCCATTAGTTATGTGGAAGACAGTTAGGCTGTAGTCATAAGTTTTAAGGTGTTTACAGCACATGTAGGTCTTCTGGGTTGTAGCACACAATGTCTTGTGGGTGGATACTGATGTTTTGGAAGAATATGCTGCCTTCATCTTCAGGGTTGGAGTGTGTAGGGTGAGGAACTGATCCTGCTATACAAACAGGCCGCAAGCAGTGTGGTCACTGAAGCCTGAATTCCATTTCCTTTCACCTGGACCAGGCTGCATGTCTTTATCTTCCACCTTGACAACCTTTCTTGCAAACTGCCTGTATAATAGAACTGGTTCCTCTCCCTACACACTTTGACCCTGAAAACAGATGGCAGCATCCTCCACAGTGTCAGTCTCCATGTAGAATACTGGACAATGTCACAGCTCAGAAGACTTGAATCCAAGGACTATCATCCTTTTGAAATTTAGCAATCCTGAAAGCTTGGGGTACAGTTTAGGCATGCTCTTTCTCCAGATGTGACTTGTGCTATGCTCTTGGCACAGTGGTCTAGCTGTTGATGGAACACGTCATTGTACCACAGAGTTTATGGTGTATGTGAAAAAGATGAGCCCACAATCCTCTGCTTAGTCATGCCAATCTGTAGATGATATAAAAGAAATTCNGTCTTACAAATCTTGAACAACCATTCACAGTGAATGAGCTCATTTTTGCACAGGCTGGTGGTAACAGCTCTTCCATGACATGCATATAATAAAACAGTCACATTGCGAGTGCTTTGGGGCAGTCACATTCACATTGTCATTGAACATTTTCACAGGCTTGCAGATAACTGATTTTGTTAGTGTGCTATGACATTCAGATTAACAGCAAACATGATTTTGCATTGTTTTAAGTAACTAACCTTCCAGGCAACATTTTACAATGGATGGGGCATGCACATCAAGTTCCAGTTTTGTATACTCTGCTGCAGCTCTGTGGATGTGTTATGTTTGCCTGCTGCTGTTATTAGATGGTGTTATCAGAGAATAATGTATGCTGTTACCAATTTTTGTGGTTGTGGTGTAGCCCTACCAAGAATTATTAATATTCTCAAGTGTTCTCACTTGAAGTAATCCTTCTGCAGAATATATTAATTTTTCTTAAATGAAGGCTGATTGTCAACTGTTTGAAGCATAGTCCTTTCTATGTATACAGCCAGCTTTAACAGTAAAGAGCTCTGCATTTTGGGCAGTATTTATTTATAGGTTTCATATGATTCTCAGAATAAACAGTGCTAATAAGCAGTTGGTTGTTATAACTGATATGCAGTGCTTTCTGTGAGATAGAAACAGTATTTGAAAATGTTATTGAGAAGTTGCAAACCCCATGTATTTGTATCAGTTTATGTACAGTACATCATACATTTTCATTCTTTTTAAGTGAGCATGCATTCTTTTTGCTCATTAGCAACATTGGGCTCTTGTAACGCAGGCCCACAGTTAAAATAGTGTATGCTTCACTTTTAGTAAATAAAGTGTATGGTATTATATACATGTACAGCCACAGAATATAGCAGAATCGTGTGAAATGTAAACATTAATTGTAATTTCAGTTGACATGTTTTGAATTAATTGACAACTGGTGAATTTAAACACAATTCGATATCCATGGCTAATACATAATACTGTTAGGCATTACTTAACCCACTGGTATATGGATAGTTTCCCTTGTATTTCAGTCACAAAATATCTGCCATGTTGAAGAGGTTGTTATTTTGTTGTTTCATGTATAATTGTTCTTTTTGCTAATGTTTTACAAGTCTGCAGTTTAAGTACCTTTGCCAGTGTGTTAAGTTTTTCTGTGGACTGGTTAACCTTGTTACACAGTGTTCTGTTATCGCATTACAACAAATATTGCACAGAAGGTGGTCTTTGTCTTGTATTCCCTTGTGTCATTGCTGACACTCGTCATGGAGTAATAAGTTTCAAGAGAAGTTTTTTTAAGTATTTAGGATATATAATTTATTTTTAATTACCATACTGAAATTTGCCATGTTTTATGTGGAGAAGATTTATCTTAGTAGGTTCTTGTGTGTAAGTGTTCATTGCCTGTACTTGTTCCATAAATTGTGACTTGGTTTGTGCAAGCCAAAACTTAGCTGTCCAGATTCTGTAATTGTCTGGTAAGAGTTGTGTTTGATTATTCTTGTTTGTCACAAGCTCATGTAATTTGAAAATTTATAAGTATTTCAAGAATAAATTATTTTTGACACTTAATGTTGGGTATGAAAACATTATCACGTGAAACCCATGATCTTTTCCTTGTGGATAAATCACCATCATTCTTGTTATCACCATATTTATATTTGTTCCCATGTTAATAATACTTGCATTTGATCTCAGATCTTTCAGTGACACATTCCACACTCCATAAAACAAGTTGATTTGTCTCTCTTGTTGAAAACTGTGAGAGAAATGTATGAAATGTGAAGTTCTCATGGCAGTGGGTATTAAGACTGGTCTTTTGGGATGTGATGTCATGTAATTTATTTACCAACATTTTGGAGGAACAACCTGGTGTCTCCATTTTTAGGACCAGATTTCAGTTCAGTGTTAGTACTGTACTTTTCTTCCTTACATGGATTTCCATCCCTGAAGGACCATGATCGTAATGATTGAATTGTTATTAATCTATGTGGTCTAGTGGTCAGAGTTCCTGGCCACTGATCCAGAGGTCCCGGGTTCGATTCCCGGCGCTGCCAGAGAAGTAGTGGTTCTGGAACGGGGTCCACTCAGCCTTGTGATGATAATTGAGGAACTATTTGAAGGAAATAGTGGCTCTGGTCTAGAAAACTAAGATTAACGGCCGTGGGGATATGTTGCGCTGACCAAATGACACCCTCTATCCACTAAAGTTGGCAATAACTTCGCCGACAAATGGCAGTCGCTCGGTCGGTGTAGTTTGCTTGCAGACTACAGGCCTCCGAGTTTTTTTGTATGTTTGTGTTAAGAGCAGTGAACTTTAAAGTAACTTTTAAAATGTTTTGTTTGAAATCATTGTTCATGACACCCACATTTTTACAGTTAACATGAATTGTATTCATCTGAGCCTGGGTATTCAAAATGTGAATATTCATAACCATTATCCTCTTTCTTTGACACTGCAGCTATCTGGGACCATTGCATTGCCTCTAACATCACATTACAGGCAAGCATATGTACAGAGTGAAGGTGGAACCTGTGATTCCCAATATTTGAATTGCATAAGACCCTGTGGCAGTGTGTGACAGTTTCTGTGATTTTTCTGAAGACAGGTGCAGAAAAGTACAAAATACTAAAAACTGCATTTGTAGATGAAAATGTCAACCATTTGAAACCATTTCATTGGTTGGCTCTCTCAAAGTGAATTTTTGGCCAAATACAGTATTGTGCTTGTTCTCAGCACTCACATTCACCAGACTAAACTAAACCAAGAATCTGAAAAGAAAGATACTTGTCAAACACAGAGATCATTCAGAAGTGCTTAATAAAAATCAAACGCTGCCTTTAAGAAGAGTTCTGGAAATGCTTACATGGTAGGACTGGTATTAGAATCACTGCAGATGAGAATACTTTCAGAGGAAAGTAAATGGAATTAATTGTTCTGAGCTTTAGTATAATCTCCATAAAATTATGCAGTGAACTTTTTTATCTATCTTCATGTTTGTGTATGGTCCATTGTAGCCTTGATTTTACCAATCTGAGAATTAAGCAGGGCTGTCTCAATTGTGAAATTTTATCAGTCATAATTTGTCCTCTCAAAATAAGAAAGTTTACCAGATTCCAAAGAATCGCTTGACATCAGTGGTTTCTGGTTTACAACCACTAAATTCAATTCTGCAAGTACAACATGTCAGTTGGTTGCATGTTCTGTATTCCAGCCTCTCCTCTGGGTTGTGAACCTTATGACATGTTATTAAAATTTATACATTTTACACTTTGCCATATCATCAACGTTGTCATTTCCATTTCTTTATTTATTATTTAAAACTTCATTGTTTTGAGGAATGTGTCTTTGATTCCTCAGAAGTCTGGAGAACACCTAGAGTTCATGGCGGATTTAATTATTTTATTCCTATCGAAGCACTGTAACTGCTGGATTTGTGATTTATGTATTTGTTCTCTCCAGAATTGACCCACGTGATGCTTCCTACGCTTGTTGAGGGGAGAGAGAAGCCAATTCGATTTCAACATAGGGCCTCCTATTCTTGCAACGAGTGTGGTGCCAAGTATGTCCACCGCACTTCCCTCTACTCACACTTAAGTGTCCACAGGAATGCAACCAAATGTCCAGTGTGTAATGTGGTTTTGAGCAGAAAGAATTACCTTCGTCAACATCTCAGGATTATACACAAGCTTGATTAGGTTGACATTCAGAGTAAGTTGTGAATGTGCTATGCCCTTCCTGCTTCATAACCTGTCACTTTATGTTATGTGCTTGGGTTTTATGTGCCCTTCTGTACACATCAATGCAGAAATGTTCACAAGAACTTGTGTTTGTATTCTTTTCTTCAGCATCTGCTTATATTAACAACTTAAATCGTTCTTTACTGAATGCAGTGTGGAGCCAAAGGACTTATTTTAAGGTGGACGCCATGATTCTCAGAGCTTACAAGCAGCTGTTGCAGGGGTGTTAAAGTTCTCATTGTTTAAGAGTAAACTTATATTTCTTCAGAGGTTCTAGAAGCACCCAAGCTTGATTTATGCTGGCATTTATGTAGGATTTTCTTAATTATATTGATTTCATTTTAAATGCAAGACAAGCCTGCCTCAGTGATGTGTACTATGACACTTTACTGCTACAACAAGCTTCGTTTTGACATTCGGCTCCAAGGAGTTAATCTTAAGCATGTATTCTCTGTGCAGTGGTTAATAACTTGATATTTTCTTCCTAGGTGAAGGCAGACTGGGCATGCACAACATCACTTGACGTCCATATGTGTGTGACGCATTTGGGTTGCCATATACAAAACCAGTACTTCACTCTGTTCACATTGGCAAGTTTAATCATAGTGAAACTGCGTGTCTCATTTGCAACAAAGTGTTTAGTCACAAGTATCATCTGTACCATCACTTAAAAAATATTAATGGAATTTTGGAGGGACATCCGTAGTTGGACGAGAGTAGATTGAATTTGGAAAATATATACTTTGTAATCTGTCATTTGGTTCAGAATCTCTATTTTCCCATGTGTCAGAATTTCCAGCAATTAAAACACATGAACTTGTAAATTTTCCTAATCTCTGTACATGAAATGTGAGTCACTCTCTCTAAATGAAGAACATGGATTGAAGATGTTTGGAACAGGGTGCTGACCTGAATGCACAAACGTGAGATGGAAGGTGGGGGAAATAAGAGGAGGCTAAAGCAAATTACATGGTGAAAAACTTTGAAATACATGCTCTTTGGCTCATACTTTTGCGAGTATTGAATCAAAATTGATGATTTGTTGGAACCTGTGGCACACACTGTGGAAATGAGAAATTTATAAAACAAAAATTGGAGTCAGGAAACCTTAAATGAAAAGGCTGTGTGGGAGACCTAAGCACAGGTAGTAGGGTAACAGAATGCATTTTTGAGTGGCAGCATATGAAGGTAATGACAACATTGAATTGGCTAAATACAGGTTTCAGTTTCTAGTCTTTGTTAATATAATAATGAACTCAGGTTTCTAAAGAAAAGGGAGTTTCATGACTTAGTAAATGTTAACTTCTCATGAAGGGCCATTATAAATTTGGTTAATTAGTCAGTAGTGCTGTGTTGTAATGGTATTTAAAGTACTGCATCAGTTTGTGTGTGATACAAAGAATGGAGATAAGTTATATGTTAATTGAGCTGTTCCTTGTTAAGTGATTAATTTATGTGAAAGAATTTGATTAGTTTAAAATTCTAGTAATTATCTTTTGAGGAATGCCAAGTCATCCTGGTAATTATACTGTGTTTTCAGTATTGTGAAACATATCAGACTGTGTTGCGTGCAGTACGATGGGGTACCCAAAAGAAACCGAACTAATTTTTTTTTGTGGGCAGAGCTTTTGTAGTACCGCGTTTTGCCGCTATGAGCGCATAGAGCTAACATTCCTGAGTCTATAAGCCAACTACCGTTGCTTCAGAAGGTAAGGACTAGTTTCGGCAGAGTTTATAGTGACAACTGTTTTGTGTGATCATCGTTTTTGCAATAGCTAATTTTCGTGAACAGCATGCGGCGGTGAAATTCTGCTTTTTACTCGGGAAAAGTAGAACAGAAACTCTTGAAATGTTAAAAACGGCATACAAGGACGATGCTATGGGGAAAGCTCAAGTGTTTGAGTGGTTTTCCCGTTTCAAAAATGGTGAAATGTCAATTGATAACAAACCTCGTTCTGGTCATCCTTCCACAGCCCGAACACATGAAAATGTTGAAAAAATTCTTGAAATCATCAAGGAAGATCGATGACAGACCATTGAACAAATTGTGGTGCTGTCTGGAGTGACTTGGAGCTCAGTTCAGCGAATTTTGACAGAAGATTTGGGAATGAAAAGGGTGGCTGTGAAATTCGTGCCACAACTGCTGACTGCTGAAAAAAAACAAGGTCGCGTGGAAGCATGCTGTGCTTTGAAAGAAGAGTCCCGAAATGATCAAAACTTTTTTTTGTTTCTCGAATGAAAAGAGACATGAAAGGAAAGCGTTTTGCTGAAGTTGCTGAGGTGAAGGAAAAAACGACGGAGGCGCTGTCAAGCATCTCAAAAGATGAATTTAGACAATGTTTTGAAAAATGGAATAAAAGACTAGACAAGTGTATTAGTGTAAGTGGAGAGTACTTTGAAGGGGATTGAAGGTTTGTGCTTAAAATTTGAATAAATAAGTTTAAAAAAAAATAAGTTTGGTTTCTTTTGGGTACCCTCTCATATATTAATATTACTGGAATGCTCATTGAGAATCAAAAGGGAAGTCTTTATCATTTGTTGCATAAGCTTTTATACAGTTATCGTCCACTGCTATTGCCCATATTCCTTTCCAGTTCTTCATATTATTGAATGATATGTCAAGACTAATGTTTAATGGCATCTTTATACAGTATAATACATTTCACATATCCGCATCAACATATTATCAGTTTATATATATTGGTTGAGTATTAATATAAATGTATGTAAAACTGCATTTCTTAGCTGATATGATAGCAACATATTAGTGGCTATTTTAAAGGTAATGAAAGATGGCAAATAAAATTTAATTCTTTAAATAAGCAGCTGTTTTCTTCTTTACAAGACCTGTCCTGTGCACCACATAGGGAAAGCAAAGCTCTCACATTGAAGGAACAGATACCATCATGTTTTATTCAGCTAAACAATACAGACTGCCTTGCTCATTTATTAGAATTAGCCACCTGCTCTGTTTTATGGATATCTTGGTTCGTGTGTGCATAGTTGGTTATCACTATAATACCATGCTTACCATACTTCAGTAGCCCTAGTATCACTTGCACCCCAGAAGTTCTTGTGTTTCCCACTCTTCTGTAACTGATGGCAGGGAATTACAAAAACTGAATTTTGGATGGCCTCCAGTGGTATCGTGTTCGTATGAAGATTCATTGAAGCAAGTTCAGCAGATCTGGAGTTGAAACATGCAGATAGACTGACAAACATGGCCATCCCTGTGTTCTTTCTCTTCTCGTTCATTGTACATAGAATGCAAGGCAAGGTGGCAAATAAGTGCTGTATAAGTATGTGTGTGATCAGACTAATCCTAAATATGGCTTCATTACAGGCATATGATAGGCTTTCTTTACAGTATGAGGATGAGGTGTATTTTATCTGAGATAATTTCATGTGGAAGATGTATTGCATGGGCTCCTCTCTGAAATATTACTTTGACAGGTTTCTGATATTGTACTCATTCTCTGAGCAAAAAATATTCAGTGTGTCAGCATTATTTATTTATCTTTTGAGCACAGATTCAGAGACTGAATATTAAAGAGCCAAGGTGAATTTGTTCCTGTATTAAAACTGGACTTTCCCCGAACCAGCTTCGTAGAAAATTCATTATTTTCAGTATTTGAATACTGTCAGGGAGTACAGAACATATTGCATTGCTGTTGTTTCCGTCTACCAAAGAAGATGGCTAGTGGTAACTTGCCTGACTTTCATTTCAGAAGTGAATTCCTGCTAGTATCAGTCTTATAATAAGCCACAATTATTCCCATACCTCTGGTATCATCATGCACAGTCATCAAACACGTTTTATGCTAAATATCATCAGTGGTTGAATGAGTATCATGAAGTAACAAATGAATTACTTCGTGAACTCAAAGTATGGCTTCAGAAGAATATTGTACCAGACTTGCTTGAGCTTGTTACACCTGCTCTGGGGGCTAATATGGAGTTGTTGAATGAAAGCTGCTATAAAAAGAGTTGGGTTTCTAATTTGAATGTGAGATATTTGGCATTTCTTTTATTGTATTATGAAAGCAAAATGTTAAAAAGTTTTCTGCAGCTGTAAGCACCAGTTTTGCATTTTGCTGGCAATTTATTTCACTTTGATAACTGAATTTATTTTCTGACCTTAATATTTCAACTTATCTGCCCTCTCTTACTTTTTAATGGTTGGGCAGTTTATGTCACTACTGCATTAGCTTATGTATTTCCTCCATCATTCTGTATTTTTTTTGCCATGAGCTGCTGCTCTTCTTGGGCTATAAACAGTGTCATAATTTAAGTATTCATCTGTCCAGTGTCCTAAGAGGTAATTACATTGAAGGATATGTAGGATATGGATGACTTTGGAAATATCTAGTAATTTGGGATGCTCACTTGTAGATGAGAATTGCTTATCTAAGATATATGGGGCAGATATTCATCAGAGATGATACACTGATTTCATGCTAGGAAAGGTTAAGTCATTGCTTGGAATAAGATAAAAGTGTTTGGTCTGAAATGATTTTAATAATAGCACTAGCAGGAATCTTTACAGACACTGAACATAAATGGTACAATTCGTCGCAAATATTAGTCAGGAATACTGAGTTTCTTGACTGGCAACATTTCAGAAACTTAACCTGTCTCCATCCACAGGCGAAAGGGTGAGGTGTCACATACCCAGGTCCAGAATGGAATATGAGACATGGACAATCCAGAAACCCAGTAATCCCACATGTAACATATTGTCACATGATTGAGTTACTGTAGATGGGGTGTGGATTGGTAATTGGATTTATTGAACTCTTACAGAATGTAACTACAAGTAACTATAGCGTTAATGCAAAATTGACATTCCTTGCAATTCATTACAGCATGTATGAAGGCTTCTTACTCTGCTGTACCTTCACCTATTGTTGCCTGGTAACGGTTTCCAATGCCGTAGCTTCCTCAGCTTTCGTGTTCACATTATTATGGCTGGCAGCTGTCTCACAACTCACTCATTGTTCCAACTTACTGACTCCCAGGCTGGTGGTCACCTCACACAAATCTCCTACTCTCACTGTTGCCTCAAGACTCATAATTGCAGCTGCTGCTCCTTATATAGCCTTGGCACAGACCACACAGAAAACATCTCTCTAAAGAGTTCTTCTGTTGCGTCACATGGCTGTCGCATGGACTGCATAGAGAACACCGCTTCCTAGTTACTCTATTGTTGCGTGTTATGGATCTGTTATGGCAACGGCTGTTGTGTAGCTGCTTATTTTGCAGTCGTTGCCTGGCAACAGGTCTACATGCCACAATATCATCAGCACTACCCTTTAAAATTGACAAATATTGGTAATTTATAAATCAGTTTTGCAGGGAGAAATAACTAGAACTATGGATTTGATGATGATGATGATTATTATGATGGCAATAGTAATGTATATACTATAGTATCAGTATAAACTGCCAACTCAGGCTATGAAATTTTGATTTGTGATTGGTTGACTGTTTTCTAAGCTTCCTTGCAATTGTTCAGCAAGATTGCAGGGTTTTCAGAGTAATCCCACAGTCATCCAAAACTGAGTTTTTGATATTTGAGACAAACTGACAAAAATAACAGACTCACACTCCAGTCAGATACAGGAAAGTAAGTAGGAATCCCATCCCTCCCTTGTGTAACGCATGAGCACCCCTGAATGTCACATGGGTTTTCCCAGTTCCTGCTTCCCTTCAAGCAGAACTAATAAATGTCGTAATCTCCACTTGCAACGTGCTAGAACTGTTGAAGTCTGCAGAGTGAGGGTGCAGAATGAATGTAGTAAGAAATGTGGATGCCTCATTGTCTTAGCTAGATAATTTTGAATTTCAAAGAAATCTGCATTCCTCTAATGTGAAGGGTATTGATCTGGGTTGGAGGCAAATGAATGCTGTTGACATGTACCTTGCTCTTCATACAGTAATGCAAGTGGGTCACTGTTTTTAGTCTTCATTGGCCCTCCAATTAATAGAGTGAAGTAAGCTCACAAGAACTTTTGTGCCTTTGGAAAACATGTGTCATCATAATCATCTTCTCATCCTCCTCCTATTCCTGTTCCTGTTGCTCCCACTTGGAGCATAGGGCATCTGTGAAACTCTCATTTCACTTCAGTTTCTTAATCTTAGACAGTTGGTAAGACTCCTTGGATGGGGGGATTAGCCTGTCACAAGGCCACTACCTAACACAAACATAGAATAAATGCAAACAGACATCCATACCTTGAGTGGGATTCATACCCACAATCCCAGTGTTCGAGTGACGACATTTTATGCCTTAAACTGCATGACCACTGTGATCAGCGGAAAGCACGAATAGTAATGTAAAGTTTATTAACACAAACTGCATTTGTGGGCATGTGTCTCAAGGTCAATATTGATATGACAACAACATACAAATTGTTGTTCAGTCCATTTAATGTAAGGTAATATAAAGTTGTCCCTGTGAAAAAAAAGGGGGAGGGGAATAGAGGTATAGTTCCACCGTTCTAGACCTTGTCACTAGGTGGATATGATTGGTCGGCTTTGTGCTCCTGCCGCTTTACCCCTGGGGAAAGAGCCCATAGAACACATTGTGTAGGAGGCTGCATGGGCCCCAGAGCTGGCCCTGCCAGGAATTGGACTTTTGTCTAACA